AGGAATTGCCGGACCTGTTTGGCGTCTTGCGGGGTTGTCCATTCTTGCACCGCACGAATCTTGCTGGGTTCCGTGGCCACGCCTTTCTCGCTGATGACATGGCCCAAGTATGACAATTGTTGCTGACCAAATTCACATCTAGATCTCTTAACTTTCCATTGATCCTTGCGCAGCAGCTCGAGAACCTGGCGAAGGTGAGAAACATGCTCTTCCCAGGTACGGCTGAACACCAATATATCGTCGAAGAACAGGAGTACGCAGTGCCGAAGTAGTGGTTGCAGGGTGTCCGTAAGTTCACTGATGAATGTCGCCGGTCCGCCTGCTAGACCGAAGGAGAGTACCTTAAACTCATAATGGCCCGAGTGCGTTTGAAATGCGGTCTTGAATTCTTCCCCCTCTGCCAGCCGGATCTGATGATATCCGGCGTGCAGATCAAGTTTGGAGAACCACTTCACTCCATGTAATTCATCAAGCAGCTCGTCGATTACAGGGACAGGGAATTTGCTGATGCGCGTCATGGCGTTGAGATGGCGGTAATCAATGCACAGCCGCCACGTCCCGTCCTTCTTCTTGACCAGGATCGCCGGCGACGAAAAACTGCTGTGGATGCGCTGAATAACCCCCGACTGAAGCAGTTCAGCTACTTGCCGCTCAATTTCTGTCTTGTGCTCTGGCTTGTGCCGATATGGTCTGATATTAACTGGTTGTGCGCCCAGCATCAGTGGTATGGTATGGTCATACGCACGATGGGGTGGCAAGCCTGTGGGTTTCTGGAACACATCCTCGAATTCAGTTAGCAGTTGCTGCAGCTCTCGCGATCCCTCCGAAACAGACGACTCCTCCTTGATCGGGCAGAGCAGGATGATGTGAAGGAGAGAGCCTTGATGGTGTAGGTTCATGAGCTGAACCCGATTGATCACATGGCATGTTGTGGAGTTGGCTTCGTGGCCGAACAGGTGAACTCATCCCATAGCAGTGGGAAATTGGATGTACTTGGCGCGCCAATCGACAGTCATAGGGCTGTGCTGTTCAAGCCAATCCATGCCGAGGATGGCATCGTACGTGCCCAGCGGCAGTATCTTCATGTTGGTGTTGAAATCGTGGCCCTGGGAAGACCACTGACAAGAGGGAATTGCAGCAGTGCAGGTGAGTTCCCCTCCATCAGCAACACGGACACGGCTTGGCTGCTCGAGTGGCACCACTCCTGTCATTTGCCGTGCCACCTTCTGGTCGATGAAGGACGTTGAGCTGCCGCTGTCAACGAGAAGAAGCACCTCGCGCCCTTGCATTGTGGTGAGCAGTTGAAAGGCCTTGGACGAAACGCTGCCATCCAGTGCTGAACGCGAAATGGCCATGGCTGTGTCGCAGGTGGATGTAGTGGCCTTGGCCTCGTACTGCTCGACGTCCACGCCGAAGAGTTCGAGCATCTCCTCCACCACATGGAGTTGTACTGTGGTGGGGCAGACATGGTCTTGTCCCCAACGCTCTCCGCACTTGAAGCAAAGCCCTCGGGCCCGGCGGTAGTCGCGGAGCGCCTTCACCTTGGATGTGTCCGCACGCGCTGCCTTAGTGCCACGGCGATCGGTGGTGCCGTTCGGTGGAACCGCGCGCGGTGGAGGTGGAGGTAGGGGCAGCGCCACTCCCGGTCGGTGGTGTGCTTCGGGTGCTCGTGTGAGGGAGCCCGAGGCCCCATCCGCCACTTCCTCTTGTAAGAGCGCCAGCGCGCACGCTGTATCCAAGTCCGGCGACCGTTGCACCAAGACCACCGCACAAATGTCTTTCCGCAGCCCCTCCATGAAGCGAGTGAGAAAATAGAAGGGATGAATTGTGTCAGAATACGAACTGAGATGATTAATGATAGATTCAAATTGCTCAATGTAATCCGCGACCGTGGATGTTTGGCGCACGGTATAAAACTGACGGATAAGCGTCTGGTGACGATCACGCCCAAAACGTGTGCATAGCAGAGAAGTAAATGATTCCCAATCAAATTCTGCAAGTCTTTTCTGGATAGACTGCAGCCAAATAGCTGCAGAGCCAGAGAAATTTAGTGCTGCCATTGGCACCCAAAACGAAGGCAGAATCGCAAATATAGTGAAGTACTGTTCACAAAGAGTCTTCCACAGGTTCGGGTTGTCCCCCGCAAATTGTGGAAACTGGATGGATGGGTGTGCTTGGCCCAAGCCGCTGAGCAGCTAACTGGCATGCGCGATGGCGAAAGGGCAGGGGGAGATGGGGGAAGTTGAACTGACCCATTTGCCGGGAGCGGCGGTGGCGTCATGAACGACGCCGTGGACGGCCCCCGTGCGGTGTTGAAGACGCCATGGCCATCGGGCCCTTGTGTAGTTGTGGCCACGCCAAGCACGGCCCCGGTGTGGGTACCGGTCTTCGCAGGCTGTGTTTGACTCGCCATCGGTGCTTGGTGCAGCACGTCTTCCGAGCGCGACGGTGGTGGTGGTGGTGGTGCGAACTGCAGGGCCGCCACCGAATCGGTCAGATCGGCGACGCGCCGCTCGAGATCGGGCCGCCACGCCACGAGATCGTCGACCTTGGCGTTGGAGGCCTGGATCGTGGCGGTGTGCTCCTTGAGCGTGGTCTCCAGTCGCTCTAGGAACTGTTGGGGAACGCAGTAATTTCAAAAAATTTCCTACACACACGCAAGATCATGGTGATGGCATAGCAACGAGAGGGGAGAGTGTTGTCCACGTACCCTCGTAGACCGTAAGCAGAAGCGTTAGCACAACGCGGTTGATGTAGTCGTACGTCTTCACGATCTGACCGATCCAAGCACCGAACGTACGGCACCTCCGAGTTCAGCACACGTTCAGCTCGATGATGATCCCCGGGCTCCGATCCAGCAAAGCTTCGAGGATGAGTTCTGTCAGCACGACAGCGTGGTGACGATGATGATGTTCTACCGGCGCAGGGCTTCGCCTAAACTCCGTGATGATATGACCGAGGTGGAATATGGTGGAGGGGGGCACCGCACACGGCTAAGGAACGATCCGTCGATCAACTTATGTGTTCTAGGGTGCCCCCCTGCCCCTGTATATAAAGGAGCAAGGGGGAGGCCGGCCGGCCCTTGTGGGCGCGCCAAGGAGGAAGAGTCCTCCAACTAGTAGGAGTAGGACTCCCCTTTTCCTACTCCTACTAGGAGGGGGAAGGGGGAGAGGGGGGAGGAAAGAGGGGGGGCGCCGCCCCCCCCTCCTAGTCCAATTCGGACCAGAGGGTGGCCGCCCCTCTCTCTTTCCACCAAGGCCCATGTGGCCCATTATCTCTCCCCGGGGGGTTTCGGTAACCCTCCGGCACTCCGGTTTTCTCCGAAAACGTCCGGAACACTTCCGGTGTCCGAATATAGTCGTCCAATATATCAATCTTTATGTCTCGACCATTTCGAGACTCCTCGTCATGTCCGTGATCACATCCGGGACTCCGAACAAACTTCGGTACATCAAAACTTATAAACTCATAATAAAACTGTCATCGTAACATTAAGCGTGCGGACCCTATGGGTTCGAGAACTATGTAGACATGACCTAGAACTATTCTCGGTCAATAACCAATAGCGGAACCTGGATGCCCATATTGGTTCCTACATATTCTACGAAGATCTTTATCGGTCAAACCGCATAACAACATACGTTGTTCCCTTTGTCATCGGTATGTTACTTGCTCGAGATTTGATCGTCGGTATCCAATACCTAGTTCAATCTCGTTACCGGCAAGTCTCTTTACTCGTTACGTAATGCATCATCCCGTAACCAACTCATTGGTCACATTGCTTACAAGGCTTATAGTGATGTGCATTACCGAGAGGGCCCAGAGATACCTCTCCGACAATCGGAGTGACAAAACCTAATCTCGAAATATGCCAACTCAACATGTACCTTCGGAGACACCAGTAGTACTCCTTTATAATCACCTAGTTACGTTGTGACGTTTGGTAGTACCCAAAGTGTTCCTTCGGTAAACGGGAGTTGCATAATCTCATAGTTACAGGAACATGTATAAGTCATGAAGAAAGCAATAGCAATATACTAAACGATCAAGTGCTAAGCTAACGGAATGGGTCAAGTCAATCACATCATTCTTCTAATGATGTGATCCCGTTAATCAAATGACAACTCATTTGTCCATGGCTAGGAAACATAACCATCTTTGATAAACGAGCTAGTCAAGTAGAGGCATACTAGTGACACTATGTTTGTCTATGTATTCACACATGTATTATGTTTCCGGTTAATACAATTCTAGCATGAATAACAAACATTTATCATGATATAAGGAAATAAATAATAACTTTATTATTGCCTCTAGGGCATATTTCCTTCAGGAACGACTGGATGGATGGATCCATGGCCATGAGGCGAGATCGCGCCTGACGCAGGGCTCTTGTCTCCACGAACTGTGCCAGATTGACGCGGCGGAAGGGAGTGGGATTGGTCTCTGATACCAGATGTAAGGTACAGGATGGGATTCACTCGAACTAGCTTGATCTCACTCACGAATTCAAGTCTGGTATCTCGATTACAAGGGAATTGGGATTACAGAAAGAGGAATATCTGAAGAGAAGAACTAGGGTAAGCCGCCGCCGCCGTTTGCCTTGATCCACTGGATGTCCTAATCACCGAGGGGCGTGCCTTAAGTAGCCAGCTGTGCGGTTGGGCTCAACGGGCCCACTGCGGCCCAGAGTTGGTTGGGTTGGGCTTCTTGGTCCTGATGGGTCGAGAGGCAGCGACGGGGTCGCTGCCGCCTGGGTCCTTCCTGTTAGCGATCAGAGTAGGGTCACCTGGACTAGGGGCGCTGACAAGTGAGAATCCAATGACATTGTGCCCCATGCTAACCAAGGCTTCAGAATCGTTTCCGTTATCACTTGTTGCCAGTCTACAGAAAAAGGACCAAATGACATAATTGGCTCGACTTAACAGCCATACGGCGGTGAATCCGGGCCTTGTACAATCAATACTTCACTAACATTGACGAAGAGAGAAGTTGTTGGTTTACATCCAGAATGCCACAGGATCCACCAAGAAGGCAGAGTATTCCGTCACTGACTTGGGCAGTTCAAAGGACCGAACGCGACGGCGCGCGGCGGTGCGGAGGTCTCCATTCTTGTCATTCACCAGCGAAAACGTGGTCAGTCGAAGCAAGTAGCGCTCACGCTCAGGCAGGTACTCCCTGTACATGCCCTCCTCACGGTCGTCCAGGGAGAGACACTGCACGAGACAGAACATGCTTCTGCAGCCCGTGTCCAGGTAGACAAGGGCGGCGCCGATGTGCTTCTCGTTTGGGTCCTCACAGAAGAGCTTCTCCTTGCTGAGCTTCCAGGCCGGGGGCTCTCTACCGCCGTTGTAGTCCCCGTCGTCGTCACCGGTAGACGGCACGTCACAAGAGCAGAGGTGGCCGAGCATGTCCGGGTCTCGGGCGAGGCCAACCCAGGCGTCCAGGTCACAGTCATAGTGCGCGGGGCCCTTGAAGGGCAGCTTCCAGTTGCCGCTGCGCATCCAGCGGGGGGAGCTCGCCGTGGTGTCGAAGCTGAACGTGGCGCCGGTCTTGCCGTCGACGCTGACGAAGATGGTTCGTCCGTCATGGTGCACGGCGTGAGAGGTGACGCGCTCGCGCTTGAAGGGCGGCGGCGGGAGGCGGCGCCACGACCGCCACTTGGGCACGTCCATGCCGCAGTTGGGGTCGACGAGCGGCGGAGGCGGATGGAGCATCTCGAAGGTGTCGAAATCCAGGCCGTAGAGCCTGTCCGCGACGGGTACGTAGATTGGGGCGCTCGGGTCCCTCCGCATCCGGGGGCCGAAGCTGAGGCACCGCGTGCGGACGTCGAAGACGGGGACGTAGCGCCTGGGCGTGTGGTGCAAGGCCATGATCTTGGTGCCAAAGGCCGCCGTGAAGTGGTCGGCGCCTTGGTGCGGAGCCTCCAGGCGGAAGACCGCCGGTGGCAAGCGCCGGTCGGAGTGTTTACGTGGGCTGTTGCCTGCATGTTCCTTCTCCGAGGTGTGGATGTCGGCATTCGTAATCCTCCTCCAGGTCTACCTTGCGGATGCTGTATCCCTGTTCCCAGTCTTCCGTGACGAGGTAGAGGTGCTTCCGCCGGCGAGGACGCTTGGCTGCACGGCCACCGCCGGTGGCATCCGCTAAACGCCTTGGCATCCTTGATCTTCTTTCCTCTGCGCCTTGATTTCCCACCTCCCTTGCAGGGCAAAAGATCAATTTTCCCACCTCCCTTGCCTTCTCTTAGGGCATGTTCGATTTTAAATAAGTCATCAACTTATAAGTCGAAAAGTAAAAAAAATGACTTATTTTGCCAAACAGAGTCGATTTATAAGTCACCCCAACTTATAAATCATAAGTTGCTCCACCCCAACTTAAAACTTATATCATGATAAATGTTTATTATTTATGCTAGAGGCAATATGGGACCCACGCAAAAGGAGCGAGGGAAATGGCTTGACGGCGCGGGAGTTGGGGCAGCACTGGTGTGGCTGCGCACACCAATGAGGAACACAAGAGGGGCCGAGAAGCAAAGAAGGCGGCGAGGGTCCGAGCTCGTGAGGGTTGGGAGTCGCCGGATGCTACCATGCCCCCCTTTCTAGCTCCCGCTGCACCGACGGAATCAGGAAATAGCGCACATCTTAATCAGGAAAGGCAGACGGAAATGAAGCCAACAGAAGCTGAATAAAGTAACAGAAGGAAGTGTGGCTTGCCGCACCCGGCAGCACACCGCTGCCGGGTATAGTCATATCCAACCCAACAAGCATTGCAAATATAAAAAATAGCAGATAAACCAATTATCACAGTAACTTCAACTTCCATCATGGACAGTCTATATATAAACCAATTATCTTATACACGAAAAGGAATTGCGTCTACATATCTAAATTAAGCTCAATGCTTTCAACACATGCATGGATACAACCATGACGCAAGACCCTGAGGTTCTTGTAACTGGCCCTAGCCTTCTCCCCGACTGCCTCCTGAACCGAGCAAAGGAAGCAAGCAAACGAACCAAGTGATGCAGCATTGAACTACATAAGAAGAGCAAGTCAAGAGAGGAAATCCAAACCAGTTCACTGCACAACATCAGTAATTAAGGCACCAATCTCATAGATCTTGTTTATGAATGCAAATTTCCTAATGTCCCAGGTTGGCACCTAATTTGTTACCACATACCAACATGAACCTTGAGCCAGAGCCTAAGACACTAACCTAAGATCTCTTGAATAATTCCAGGAAATAGACATTGCAGGTTTTAGATAATGCTAAATTGCACGGAGAATAGTTCAGGATCACATCTTATTTCTTATTGATGTTGCTCAAAATAAAATTCACCTTTCATACTTAAATAGGCGTGTCCTTAAACTAAGAGAGCAGAGGAAGGCACGGAACTACACCATCAATCTTACCGGGTGGAGACCAATGTAGCTGTTTACGGCGGATGCACTCCACACTTTTAGGGCTGATACTCGACATGCGGTCCTGCGCATTGATTATAATGTGAAATTTAGACATGATTCATATATATTGTTTTCTAACGAATATTGCCAACAAACTCTGATGATAATTATAAGTCGCCACAACGGAAGATGCTACCTCTTGTCTTGGTCCTCCCACAAAGGCATGGTTCACTGCACATAATCTTAACCTCTGGGCCTCTACCTGAATAACCAAACCAATTGTCATGGAAAGCATGAAATTACCTATACAACTCAGAGGCAACGTTGTTTACTACGCAATGTATATATGTCTATACCTTCAACATCAGTGAGATAGATTGGGTTGTCGATCGTCGATCCTGTCAATGTGCTTACCACCTAAACCCTGGTAAAAGTTAAATTCAAACCAAGAGTATTGATGTTAGCATGGACCCGGCATGGTTTGTCATAATATAAATACCAAGATATCACATTAGCAAGCAAAACAGGAGGGTGTGGTATAATTGAATGCATAGACGATTGCTATATCTTTTGTATAATTGAATGTATATATGGTTGGTACATTTTCTATATCCACGCGTGTATCAATCAGCAGGAAATTAATACTGGCAATCTATTCCAAACCGGGCAGTCTTTATCTACTGCTCGCACATCTCAGAGTCAGCTATCCATGTTCAATCAGATAGAAAATTAGCAAGGGGGAGGAAGAGAAAGAGAGACGACAGATAGAGGAAGAGTGGGAGGGTGAGGAGATAGGTGCAAGAACAAATAAAAATGTATAGTGGCCGAATCTGCGAGCCACACCATCCTACCCTTCTTCTTTCCATGGTTCTTTCCTGTCCTGGATACACAGGGTAAAAGAAAGCAGGTCAAGCGATATTTGAGCAAGAGAAATATGGAGAGGCGTGAGGGGAGTTCCATCAGGAGGGAGAGGGATGGGGTTTGTACCTTGACTATGTTGAGTTTGCCGTAACTGCACCTCCAGATCCAGGCAAGGTACTTTGTAATTTAGAAACAGAGAGAAGGGTATCTTCTTGACTTCTTGTATCCATATCCTCTGCCTCTGTCTTGTAACTGGACCGAATCCAACACAGCACAAACCAGCCTGATAGTATTTATTGCCTGTATATAGAAACAACAGTATAATTTTGAGAAAAATGAATCAGTTCAGAGGAGGAAAACAAATAGCTGACATATGTGATAATTTTTCAATGCTTAAAATATCAGGAATCTAAACATCTATAAGATAGCAGCAACCCAATGAAAATCATCATGGATATAAAAAAACCTGAGACAAACATACAACAACTCATTCATGTAATAAGGATTTAAAAGCAAGGATCAGCTCACTTTAACAATGACATGGGTTTATAGCAAGGTAGATTATGTATTCTTTTTAAATGCTCACCGGCGCAAAGAGAAATCAGAGTAATCGCTAGAAATCACCACTCTAATATATCAAGTTTATATTAGAAGCACTCTAACATAGCAGTTGGTCCAGGCAACAACAAAGTAGATAGTTCTCATGGAAGCTGCTTTAGCAATTATATGCAACAGATACCTGAAATGAAAAACCACATACGGCATGCTCTATTTCTCGCCCTTGGCTTACCTCCTTCGAAACAACAAATAGATATGCAATATCCATAGAAAAAAAACGAAGTTATGTCAGAAAATAACTGACGTATCTCTACTGGCATGAGATAATATGGATTGAAAATCAAGGAAAGGTAGTGAGCATAAAAACACAAGGAATTATCAATATCGAAGCAATACACTAACTGGTAGGATAGTGATGCACATGAAAAACTGGTATAGTGGTGATACCAAGATTAACCAATAGAACTTAGTAATTTTACCGGCTGGAAAAAGCATTCATTCATTAGGAATAGTATATGAGGCAATTATGCAAGGCAGAGCAGTATTCGCATAATTAAATGGCATCACAGTTATCATAACCTCAAAATGCAGGAAGGTTTGTACCAAAATAAAGATCGAGGCAAGCTTGAACCATATAGAAACTTTTTAAATTTAAGTAACTACCATATTTAACTATGTGTGTTAAATTAGAGAATGAATGTTTCTGATTATCCTACCGCCTTGTTGGGTACAAAAGTCCATCTAAAAAACCAAACAGGGGGCTGCAAGTAAAGATGGTTTCAAACACAGGAGACCAAAAATGGAACTACTAATGATGTTAAAAATAACACCCCTCCCGCCACAAACTCCCATTACTAATATTTTTAACACAAGGGATTTTCTTAGGCCAGTTGGCAGCATGGTCCTCCCTCGGTTAATATACAGAATTACAACCATACTCCATGATATCTTTCCTGGAGAAATATCAAATTATATATGCCACTTCGCAACAGAACATAAATTCTACTAACAAATTCATGGAAAAGATGAGCTACAATTAAATACCTTTTGTGGCAATCGGCACTGGCTCGCCTCGACTCGCTGCGCAAAAACAGTAGCAACACCTGTAGTACACCGACAAAAGGCAAGCATGTCAATCGCATGACACAAGTGAAAAAACACAAAAGGCTCATTAGCTGGTCAGAGTGATTGCTAAACCATGAAACATGAAGTCATATGAAATCAATCAAATTTGCAATGCAAACAACTGATGATTAAACGCAAGACAGTTGGATAAACCATGAAAGAAGCCACATGCCCTGAGAATGCTCCATTTTGTTCCACACTCTAACAATGCGATGCTGTTAGATACTGGGCGGTGCCGAACCTTCGGCCTTACCCTGATAGCCTCGATCTATTTTAAAAGATTGGGCAAAGGAGAAGGAGGATAACTATGTAAGCATGTAATTGTAACTAGAACTCCTATAGAAATCAATATGCACTAACCATGGCATGGTGCTATTGCTAACCAAGGTAGATTACCATCTTAGCATAACCTCTATCTGGATAAAAATAGAAACCTAGAACATATCTTCCTGAAACCATCTAAACTGGCGAGCGGAATTGACTCAAAGTACTCTGTTTGAAAATTTGTTTGTAGAGTCAAAACATCTTGCTATGTTTAGCTAGCTTCAATGGTATACAAAATTAAGTTAACCATGTTACAACAGAAGCAAAGAGCAGTGTCTTAAATTAGATAAAAACCCACTTACAGACTATATATTAGTCATCAACACGCTTTAAAAAATCAAGAGGGCACACTAATACTCTAGTTATCAATGTATAGAAATACAACATGTGTCTACAGTCAATTTGTAACTTTCTACCTCAACCAGTCTCACTACATAAGCAGATATCCTCTAAGCAAGTCAAAGCATGTTATCCAAGCCAAGGCGATAAAACTAAATAGTTTCTAGATAAGTCGCAATCGGCAGTTGGAACTGAAGCCTCATAGTGTCTAGTAGAAGCGACCTAGAGCATCCTTCATGTAAATGGTGTCTATGACTAAAAGA